CTCGACGTTTGAAAGGAGGGGTGGAGGGGGGGGGGGAGGGAGGCAATCGCCGTAGAGTGCCGGTACCGCCGTAAATATTGCACAAGCCGCTCTTGTCCGTGCGGTGAAGTCAGGAACCGCGATATACGAGCCGTAAACCCGATGACGCTGAGAGTGTTCTTGCTGAGAAGTACCGAGGCTATTCGTTTAGTTTTCCTTTAAACGGGTCAATAATATATTTCACGTATGGCTTTAGACCGATTAAGGGCATTCACGTTTGCGAGCATAGTTTTGTAAAGGCAATTCAGTTTTTACGAATAATTTATTCCAAAATATATCGTGAAGGATAAGCGATGCGCGCGTTTAGTGCTTTCAATTATTTAAACAGCCTGGGCAATTTTGCTAATTGCAACGAATTTTACGAAGCAACCGGTATCTGGACAACGGTAGTTGCGCAAGCCAACTGGAAAGTAGGCCGCAAAGTGTATCTTAGACCTATATCGTTCGCACAACTTGAATTATTAAAGCCATCGGCCATCAAGAGGTTAAAACTCAGGCCGCTCGCAGCCAAGACCATGCCGGCCGGAAAATTTAGCTTTATGACACTTGACGGGAAACAATCGCGAGAGTGGCCGCGCGATGGCGGCGGTAAATATTGCGCAAGCAGATCTTGTCGGGCCGATGAAATTGCCGCACATGTTCGTACGTGGCATACAGCGAGGGATGTTTGCGGTTCGCCCGCGAGATATTAAGCCCGGAGAGCAAATGTGCGCGAAAAAGAAAAAAATGGCGCGCGGGTAAAAAAGGGCGGGAGGGAGGAAAGCAAACGTGAAAGAACAAAAAGGGCGAGGATGCGCGATTGCGAATGCGGCGGTCGGCGGCGTGGCTGCGTGAATAATATATAAAGCTCGCGTGACTCGGCTCTTTATGACGCAACTGAACGTATCGCATTCCATAGCGGACGCGTGACTGCAACTTTCCTCACGTATGCGCATGTACCTCTGTGTATGTGTGTATGTGTGTGTTTGCGGTCAGGAAACGCAAACCAAGCCGCGGAGACGCGTAGCGTAGATATACGCGAAAAACGCCGCGGTGTCTCTGAAAGTAGCACGGCCGTCCACTTGTTACGCGAAGGCGAAAACAATAGCGTCAGCGAAAATTAATTATTCTCTAGGTTCCACGGCATCTCGCGGTAGGAAAAGGGGGAGAGAGGGAGGGAGAGAGAGAGAGAGAGAGAGAGAGAGAGAGAGAGAGAGAGAAGAAGACAGAGAGAAGAGAGAGAGAGGAGAGAGAGAGAGAGAGAGAGAGAGAGAGAGAAAGACACAGACGGAGAAAGAGAGAGAGGGAGAGAGAAGGAGACGAAAGCATTGTGAAGGAACGCGGATGAACGTGCTGGTGTCGGTGACGTCTAAGAAAATCAGGCCGCCGACGGCGAGTTGTTGCTAGCGTCATGATTTTGCCGGGTACAATTTTGCTCACGTACCACTGCGACAACGACTAAAACGCGACGAACCGTGACGTTGAAAATGCGTTTCGCGATATCGCGTTTCCGCCCTGTGTTCGCGGTATTTAAATAAAATAATGTTCGCGTGCGCGAAAGAAATCATTTTGAATGGAAAAAGTATCGCGGAATATGCATCGTGAATAATTGTTATATTACCAATACGGCTCGATACGGCGCAAATTTCACGTAATCCATTTTTGCCGAATTATTATACAAACTTGCATAATGCGATTATTGAATTATACAGAGTCAAGCTATTTAATTGTTCGATGGCACAATTGGTATATCGACCCATTTTCTCAATTTAATAATAATCACGATTTTGCGAGCATAAAATTTAATTTATTGATATTGTTACGTTTTTATTCATTAATATTTATATATGTTACATTTATTGACCGTGTTTAAATTTTAATAATGTATTTAAGTTTATATGTCAAGCTTTACGCTCGAAAAGCAAATTCTTGCTGCAATATTTATTTCATCGTTCACTCCCTATTTTTGTAAAATATACAAAAAAAAGGGGGGATTTTTTCCGTATTTTATTGGATTCAGAGTTAAGGTAAGCTTTAGTATTGGATTCTTAAAAATACGATAGAAAGGTGCCGTTAGCAACGAATGACTTTCTGGTTTTAACCGAAATGGCGACGAACAGTCGAATGCGTAGAATCTCGTTTACTCGACGGCATTGAATGACATACAAATTTTTTCACGCGATAGTATCGAAAACCAGCACGGATTCGTGTTAAGCCATACACTATGTAAAAACGAGCACGAAGGAGATAACCGAAAAAGCGAGAATCGCAGAAGAACGAGGGAGCGTTTGCAAAACCGATGACAAAAAATAGTTTGGCAAAGAGACAAAGACGGGGCGGGCGGAAAAGCGACTGCAGGGACGATTTCATTCCTGGCTGTAATATTCGGAGAAAACCGAACGATATTCGGATTCGTTCAAACCCGCCGATCGACAAAACCGAGCGGAAAAATAAATGTTCCCCCCACGCACTCTGAACGCGCGGGTCCTTTCGCGATTTAACATATGTTCCATGAAATCACGAGCACGGCCTTGCCGCACGATTTCATCGATGACTTCTGATTTCGGCATGGAAAATATACCGAATATTCGATATGGCTAAACCACTAGAGAATTGATCTGTCAAGCCAAAGTATTGGAAAAAATTCAACAATTATTACTGAAACAAAATTACTTTAAGAAATAACGTTGTTAAACGTTATTAAACGAAATTAATGTTGTTAAATATTTAATTCTTAATCAACATTGATTTCTATTTGTTAATTTCAAATCAATTTTGAAATCAATAGAAATTTAATTTAAGAGATTCAATTAATGAGATAATTAATATTAAAATTTAGCGTGTTACAAGAAAAGATCCAACTAATGTAAAGTCCAACTGTTTTGCTGAGAAGACATCGGTTTCAATTATATTAAACAATATTCTCTCTGGCTTTTCCACTGGACACTGTATTTTGCAAATATTTAGCTTTACGGATTGTAAAGGATAACAGAGCACGTAATAGGAAACAGAATGAACGGCAGGAAACAGAGCGGAACAGGTCGAGCTTTCATCGCTGCGAAACTACCGCCTTTGTCGTTTTCGCCGCAATCCAGTTCGAGAATAAATAAATAAATACTTGTTGAGATTTTCAAGACTTTCATTAACGTAAAAGAATTATAAATCGAAATTCATATATATATATATATATATATATATATATATATATGAATTTTTATATATATATATCGATTATATTGATACATATATATTTACACACACAGATATATGTATCTGTGTCTAAATGGAAAGCGAAGTATCGATGCATTTATATTTTATCGGCAAAAAAGTCCATCAATATCCTATATATACAGACTTTTAATTCCCGCTAAAAGCTTCAAATGGTTTAATTGGTAGTATTTAAAAATTTTGGTCATATTCGTCGATACGCGGGGGATGAGACGCTATCCGGTATCTCCCGTAATACTACTGAGAATACATAATATCGATTACTCGTGTAACAATTTCCTAATGCAAAACGTGACAGGAAAGCGAAATGTCAGAAAAGAATTGGATCTTCTATATGAAAAATTATCCTCGATGCGCCTCAGGTCATTCGACATGACAACAGACATAATACTAGCGATCTATTTTGTTCACTTTACCATGTGCTATATCAAGAGCATTGTATGATATCACGTTAATCGATCGCAGTTTATTCCAAAAGTGACAGACGCCGGTCGATGAGTGCGACATGGTGAAAACAAGTGGAATAAATTCGGTATAAAAGCAACGGCAAACCGTAAGATGAGTTTATATGGCAACGCATGTTTTGCGCCAACGTCAACGCACGCAATTCAACAACATCGAGAATGTCAAAAACTGCTGTTTTTTTTCTTTTATAGCTATTAAAAAAATATCGCTCTTTATTTATTCGTAAACTATACCCCTTTTACTGCTTTCTCAAATTTCATTCTATGTCTAACGATAAGAATAAAATGTGTTGCGCTTCACATATCGCGTATTGCACATAACATTCATCGCAATGCAAAATTGTTCCCACGATGCAATCTAACCTCATCTTATAGTGCCATCATCATCTTGCGCGCCGTAATCGTGGCGATGAGTAGGCTTACCGCGTGATTGCACCTGTATCATCTTCATAAATTATCTTCTCTCGCGCGAGATTCCTCTGCGCTGAATGCAACGTCCGGTACATACGAATAACGCGTAGCGATTCAAGTGACACATTATATTGTTGGGAACAATGTGCGAGCTTACTCGACGTTGCTCCCGGCTTTATTGAATGTTGCGTGACAGCGGTCTTCTCCACACAAATGCACACGTGTTCAAACGTACGTGTGTGTGCGCGTGTATGTGTCTGTGACGTAACTCGGGCACGCATTACGTCGTGCGCGCAAATACATGTATACACACGCATACAGCAAACAGAGAGCGAACGGCGATGAATTAGGCGACTACCTATCGAATATTACATTCGTTCCGCGTCGGAACAGGTTAAATAATCGCGAGAATGTTTTAACGAACGCCGCACGCAGCGTCCGCTTTTACAAATTGAAAATATTTATCTTCAATTCCACTGTGAAACATAGGAGAGAGAAACGCGCACTGGCCCGCTTTTTCCAGACCACCGCGCTGCATAATTCAGCGGACACCAACAGTCGAGAGAAAAACAGCTTGAAACCGCAAATTACATACGAACGACTCGATAATGAGTGGGCTGTACGAGCGTGACGAGCTCTCGTTAAGATCGCGTTCGCCGAGTACGAGTTCTCCAGCAAAAGTATCGACACGGTAGGCCCCGCTAAAATACACTATGTATCTGGCAAGTAGACCGCAAACCATCGTGTTGTACTTATACGAGTGGAATTAAGTTTCTGTTTGCTTGTTTATTACCGCATCACGCGAAAACGGACAAATATTCACGGAAAATGAAAGATACATTTCGAACGGTCTGACTTAAAATAGATTGAACTACTTACAATATAACTCCAATTTCCAAAGCTGTTGGAAGTACGCATCTCGTTGCTTCCACGAAGGATCCATGTGCAGCATACAGTTTTCCTAATCAGAAAAATTATTTTTAAAAAGTATTAATAAATAATTTGATAGATTTTTTTAGAAATTTTATTTTAAAAAAACAAATTTAAATGTTTATTTATTTCTCCAAGTAAATCATTTTAATTTCGAATATATCTTACGTCGTAGATAGGATGCAATCTAACGCTTTACCGATGTATTCGGTAGATATAGTGTTTTCGAGTTTGGCCTCGTGAGAACGACTGTGTCGATAGAAATCGCCAGCGATGTATCACGACGTCGAGAGACGCCGATTGAAACATCGACGTCGCATGAAACATTTTGCTCGTACTTTTGATGTTTGTGGATTTAACACTTTTTCAACCCAGGCATGCGGACTGAATTGCCAATCGAGCCTCGAGAATGCTTTGACTGGCCACGCTCAATGCGAGGTGTGTAAATGATAGATGTAACATATGATGCAACACTAATTCGTTCGAGAATAATGATCGATCCGAACTTATCAACGCGGAATGACGCGCGTTAAATCGATACTCCTAAATTAGAGCAAGCTTGTGCTACAGCTTGGAAAACGCAGGAGAAAATATGTTGCGCCTTCGAATGTAGGACATTTATTCTTTTAACTTTAGACGGCACAATTGCAACAGCTGCTCTGATTTCAAGATATTTCACGTTTGAAGGAATCGTGGAAAAATTTCATTTTTGTGTTAAATATAATTTTATAATAACAATTTGTGTTTTATGTGGAAATTTGTAAAGTGATGTTTTTCATAAATTATAATTAAATTATAATTAAATTATAATTAAATTTAACAAATATTTTATAATTCATGTGTAAAATATAAATATTACGAGTTTTTCTATACAATTCTTATTTTTACATATAGTATTTGTTAATTACTTTATTTACTTCGTTAATTAGTAGAACATAATTTAAAATATTTTTTTATAATAATTAACTTTTTAATATCAGCTGATTCTAGACCATTTCTTTGTTTAAAACATAAGATTTCAATGCATCGCAATAAAGAAAGTGTGAATTATAAAATTCTAGGCCTCTCTTATCAAATGTTATGATATAAGATTCTAATAACAAAATGTGAGTTCTAGATTTACCAAGATTACATGTTTAATATATCACTACTACAAATCAAAACTTTACTGTTGTAACGATAAACTCTATGTTGAACATGTTTAATAGAATTGGAAGTATAAGGAAAAATATGTCAATAATCGATACGTTGGTCTTAATGTTCCGTATTGTCTCTTATCGTACATCGATGTATATATATCACGTATATATATATGTTCAATTTAAAAATAGTTGTTACAATCATAACACAAGTCAGTTGTTTCTTACGATTTTTCATTTAATTTTTGAAAATTTATTGAAAATTTATCTCTCAAATGTATTCTAAAAAAGACAATGATTCTATTTCTTATATTTCTATTTTATTGACTTTAGCGATTCCTATTCTAGTGATTTTCTCTTAATTTAAACGGATCAATTCGTGTTAGAATCTTTTTCAAGACTATAAATAATAAACTTACGAAAGGTAAAATTAAATCCCATATTCACAGTTGACAGTGAAAAAAATGCTATAAAAATTTAATTCATAACATTCTGGAATCTCACATCTTTTATAATCGTCTCGTTTTTCTCATCTCAGTTATTTTAGAATTTTTTAAAATACTTCACTCAAAAAAGATTGGAACAAACAAAATGTTTAAAAATTCTTTCAGTATTTTTAAATCAAAGGTAACGTTGCATACGCAATCGATTTCAGCGACTCACTCGATCGAGAACTCAAAGTTCCGAGCAGCTTTTTTCACGGGAACGTTGCCAAGTAGCGACAAGGAACACCAAAGCCGACTTTGCGAAAAATCTGCTGCTTTTTTGGCATATTCGTTAGGGACTATCATAGTCTTATCGAGAGGAACTACTTTTTTTACCCCGTCGATCGTTGCCCGCGCAGAATATTCCGATCAATTTTTTTTTCACCAGCCTAAAATCGGTTTTGCGGGAAGCGAAGGACGTTATCTCGTAAGACTTCGGAATTTATTTGCCGTGCAAATATATGTTTCAGGAGAAACAAAAGAAAAAAATAAAATTCATGGAAAATTTATAGATAGAAAATTTCCTATTCTACACGACCATACTTCTTATCGCCGAACGATAAAAAATCGATTTTTAGCGAACGTATGAAATAGATCAATGTATATATATGTATGCATACATATTTAATATATAAAAGAATCCTTTCCGAAAAAATATTAAGAAATGAATAATTTGTAAAATGTTTAAATATAGCGATGCAATGCGATTTTTCCACAATTATAAATTCTTTTTAAAATTGCATTAAAATATTACATTTTAACATGTTATAATGACAATTGAAATTTATTTCAATGTACGTATATCGATAACACGCAACAATTAATTACTTACTTTTTTTAATTATATTATTTCGTATCGGTGATAGTGCATGGTGATAATTACTCCCGCGGCGGCGCCAAGCAAAAAATTACGACTGCACTTAGAACTTTCGCAGAAAATTTCCGATCGGTATCGGTAAACTTCATAACTTGCATAAGGAGCGCGAGAAGCGTCTGATACGGAACTTCCATTCGGCCGTATTCTTACGCGAAGACTATAACAAGCACATCGTACTATCGACAAATTATTCCTGGCTTTCGAAAGCTCTCGTAACGTTTTATCTAAGAACGCGATCATAAAAATTAACTTAACGTCTTGCCGTGGCGGGTTTCTTGGAGCACGGTATCTACATACATGTATATAGTATACTTAGTATGTGTACACCGGAAGGAAATACGCAAATAAATCAATTACATCTTAACAGTAATTTTGATGAAAAAATATATTAAGATTATCTCTCAATAGTTATTATATTTCAATTAACAATATATACACACACACACACAAGCTTTTTCGCACAACCATATTCATTAATCATTGTACTGAATCTAAAATATCTAAGATTCGATCTTTTCGTAGGCTATAACGTAAATCATACCGGTTATAATGGCAATATTGGCAACGCACCTGTATTTCCTCCGGTGACACTTTTGTAGAAACCGGTCGTTTTCTCCGATCCGATAAACAATTAATAAACATAAATTCTCTCGGAATCGCCAATAGAGTAGCGCGCATGCTTGCTCGCCCGTTCGCGTCGCATAAAATCGTTATAAATTCTTTTTTACGAGGCAGAGTACATAAAATTGCGCCGAGTCTCTCGCGATTTATGTCCCGACGCCTGGCGTCGTTCTCTGTTTGCGCGACGCCTCGATCGGAAGGGTCCGCCGGTCACTCTCTCTCCCTCTCGGGCCCTTAAAAGGCGATCGTTAAAATACGGCGAGAGTGTCGTAAATCGTCGATCGTTACGGAATCGTGGTGCGGTGCTTCGACAAGAAGGGAAGGAAGGCTTCAATTATCGGCGATGCGGTCGGAACAGGCCACCCTCTTGCAGTCACTTACGCCACGACCAATTTCCCGAGTAATAAGAGTAAATATGTTCGAAACGGAGTGATCTTTGAACATCGGTGACCACTGAGATCGCTTCATCGCGATATTTTTTTTAAAGATAGACACTTTTAAAACTAGCTAGAAAATGTCTATTTTCTTTCTCAACAAGTTGCAAATAAAAATAAAGATTTGATATTTATTTACATATCTAATGCTTATTTTAAAAAATATCCATTGTTTACTAAGGCCCGAGAAAAAATCAACTTCGAATATGTTAAAATATTCGAAACTATGAGGAAACACACATTCTTTTTCAATTTAACAGAATTTCACTACATATAAAGGCGGGAATATTACATGGATTTTAGGACTTTGCAACCATGCTGTTCTTTCCGATATATACGTATATTTATACTTTCTATATTCATTTTTTTCCATTGGGATTTCCTACGGAAAGCAGGGGATAAAGCGCACGTTCGTTTCGTATCGATATCTCGCAATGTTTGTTCGCGTCGATTTTTCTCGTATTTGCACTTGCGGCTCGGATTTTAGGGTTGCCGTGTTCGGTTGAAAATCCGTGGTTCTGATTTCGACTTGGAAAAGTCCGGAGCATATGACCACACCGGAGATAACCACCGACGGTCATCGGACAGTCACGAACACACCACACATGGTTCTTCGCGTGACAATGGCGGCGGTCGATCGAGCAATTCGGTGCGGGCAGCGTCGATGATGACAGTGACGACGACGACAATGGCGGTGACGATCGTCGTTGTCGTCGTCGTCGTCGTCGTCGTCGTCGTCGTCGTCGTCGTCGTCGTCGTCGTCGTCGCGGCGCCATTCGCGATAAATGCGTTCTGACGAACGTGGCGAAATTGATGCCAGCCGTGGAATATGGTCGGCGAAAAACGACGATCGCAGATAAGCGGTCGCGATTTGTCCGTTTTTGGGGCGTTTTGTGGTATAGTCAACTCACAGATATCGTCATTCTCGATCTTTTGACAACATCTTCACAATGCATCTTTCCTCCTTTATTATCGCTTATCTATATGGGTCGTCCAAATGAAACATAAACTAACACTCTTTCACCAAATGTGTTTTAATATCAACGACGTTACTCGCGCAGTCGACAATTTTATTTGAACAATCTTTGTAACTTTCTTCATGTTACTTTATAGTGTTATTTTACTATTTAAGTGAGTTTACTTTTAATATGATTTTTACGTTTTCTTAATTTTGTGAAATAAATGTTTATCAAATTCTCGCTGAGAGAAAAAACCGGTTTCAAATACGTTAAGCAGTATTTAAAATACTGCGAAATACCACAAGAAAACACGCGGTCTTTGCTCATATTCTGTATGTGAAATCGACAGCTCCTATTGTCGTCAGAATTTTTGAAAGAGTCAATGTAAATTCGACAATACCAATGTAATTCGACGACGCATTGACCCTCCCTGTATCTCAAGCAGGTGTGTCTGACGCGTAGCGCGCGCATTTCCCGCAATAACTTGATACGCGAAATTTACGCGAGACAGGAAAT